TCCCATTGGTCGGATTGGCCTTACTCCCCAACGGCTTCTCGTCTTATCCACCCTTTCAGATACCTCAACCTGGGCCTAATGGTATGCAACCCTGGCAGGAATGTATGAAACCCCACATTTGAACACACACACACACCTTGCTTTCGTTGATAGGTCGGCATTTGTGTAGAATAGCGAAGGTGACCAATTGGAAAGTGATGCTTCGAGATGTGTTTCCACAATCGGATCTGGGCCGATAGATTGCTGAGTGTAGGGTTGAAGACGAATCACTGCACCGCGTGGATGTAATGCATAAAAAGGGGAATTAATGTGTACAATCGATTCCCGTCGTGGGTGCTGAAGAGACCCCGGCAATGCCGATGCGATTGCAGTACACCCGGAATGGGTCTGCCTTTTTTGAGGGGGGTGGGGGTAGGGAGGGGCAATGTTAAATGCAATGCTGCTGAAAGGTATGATTACTTCATTATGTGGAAGTTCGTCTATCAGTTCTGATGTCTTACAATTGCACCGTTTTCTGTGAAAATGAGGAGGGGTTCACTCGAATTCTGGCCTGTTTTAATGAGTCGTCGACTTATTTGTCCATTCATTAAGAGCTTCATGTTAACTGTACATCTTGGCGGTTTTGCCGGAGGAAACGGCAGAACAATATAACACCAAAGCCTCATCACAGTCCTAATCTTCCTCCCCTCGCTCGACATAATCAGCCCATATTCTGTCTACAGTTTGTAAGGATACATTTGTGGGTAAATTTTAATACCAAACGAAATATGGTGAATACATCTCATACTACTGATTTACTGGTAGTCTCGAAACTCTACTCAAACACTAAAAATAAGTAACGTAGTCGATTGTTATAGCAAATGTACGTTTGCTTCATCAACAATCCCACCGAGGAATGGGATATGGCAAAATGCCTGGCCTTCCTTGAAATTCACATCTGCAATCTGGCAATCTGGTCGAGTGGTTAACGTGTCGAGTTCCCATTCTGCACAGTCACGGTTCGAATCCCGTTGGGGGTGTTGATAAGACCGATGCGAGGTGGAAACTGAGAACAACTTTTGGGAAAGAAAGGCGATGTGAAATTGAATGGAAACGTCAGCTCTACTCATATGATTGTGGGGGAAATCCTTCTACCAGTCATTCATCGCCTTAAACAAAATATAGTGAATACATCTCATACTACTGATTTACTGGTAGTCACGAAACCCTACTCAAACACGAAAAATAAAGTTGCTATTGGTTCATGAGGAAATGGGAAATGAGAAATGAGAATAAGGCGAGGGATAAGTAGTAAGTAGTAGTAGTAAGTAGTAAGTAGTATGATAACCAGGAGTAGTATAGAGTCTCGGAGGGAGAAGTGGATTCTTTAGGTTCTACTTGCTGAGTTGTCGGCAGTCGATTGGAAAGACAGCCAGTGAGAGCAGCATGTGAAGGAGGCTTAAATAATTGGGAAAACAAGAGACTAAAGTAATTTTTTTTCGAATGTAATTAGAGTATCGAGACTGCCCGTAAATCAGTAGTATGAGATGAATTCACCCAATTTCGTTTAAGGTGGTGAAGGACTGGTAGTCGAGTTTTCACACAATCATATGAGTAGAGCTGACGTTTCCATTCAATTTCACACCGCCTTGATTTCCCAAAAGTTGTTTTATCCCTGCTGGGCTGGACTGCAGCTTCGACCTCGTATCGGTCTTGACACCCTCAGCGGGATTCGAACCGCGACAGTGCAGGACGGTAGCTTGACACGCTAAACACTCGGCTACACCCCCTCAGCGGGATTCGAACCGCGACAGTGCAGGACGGTAGCTTGACACGTTAACCACTCGGCTACACTGCTATGAGTACCCTTGGTTTCTCTGGCACCATAAGCAAGTTGTCAGCTGCAAATAGAAACTCCCACCTAACCCTTGGTTTACTAATGGTATGCGTAGGTGTGAATATATTTTTGTTTCCATCTACTTGAATAATTTGAAGAAGAGCTCGGTCTCAGACTGTTTGCCCCTGCCATTGTCCGAGGTTCCGTACCTGGCAACCCGATGCCTGTAAGTAAGTAGTATGAGACTTTCGACAGCTGTAGTTGGCTAAAA